TCCGACTACAAGCCTATTAACGCTGGTGTTCCACAAGGCTGTGTGCTATCACCAACGCCGTTTCTTCTGCATATCAATGATATGTTGCTAACTGGTAGCATTCATTGCTATGCGGATGACAGCACTGGTGATGTTTTATACACCGGACGTGCCAATATTTCTCGGGAAAACGTCGCCGAGTACCGGAACAAATTTGTGTCTGAAGTCGAGTCTTTGCTGAACAAAGTCTCGGATTGGGATCTAAATCTAGTCCAATTTAATCCTCAGAAGACACAAGTTTGCGGGTTTACCGCTAAAAAGAACCCCTTTGTCGCATCTCCTCAGTTTCAAGGCACTCCCCTTCTTGCCTCAGCCAGTATCGGAATCCTCGGAGTCGACATATCGAGTGACGTGCAGTTTCGTGGTCATTTGGAAGAGAAGGCCAAATTGGCCTCTAAAAAGCTTGGCGTGCTCAGCAGAGCGGGACAGTATTTCATGCCGGCACACCGCCTGCAACTTTACAAGGCGCAGGTTCGGCCTCACATGGAATACTGTTCCCATCTCTGGGCAGGGGCTCCCCAGTGCCAGCTCCTTCCACTTGACCGCATCCAGCGCAGAGCGGCTCGAATCGTCGACGACCGAGTCCTTTCCGATCGGCTCGATTCATTAGCACTGCGAAGAGATGTTGCATCCCTTTGCATTTTCTTTCGCATCTACTATGGGGAGTGCTCTGAGAAATTGTTCGGATTAATCCCAGCCGCCAAATTTAAAAAAGAGCGTACTCCTTTTTAAAAGGTCGACCACGCATCTGCGATTCCCCTGGTGTTGCAGTTGTTCATGGGCGGCGGTAGCCACTTACCATCAAGTGAGCCGCATGCTCGTTTGCCCCGTCTCCTATAAAACAAAATATCATTTAAAACCCATATCTATCAGGTGACCTAAAATAAGAAAACAAAGAAAGAAAATACATTTGTTTACCCGATATGGACGTACTCGTACATGCAAGAAATTTAAAGTTAAATAAAAATTATAAAACCTCTTAAGGCGTTCAAGTATTACGTAAGCAGCCTTAGAAATGAATAGAATAGAATAGAATGAATTATAAAACAATAAAATATTTTTAAAACAATATAATCTAAATTAATATGTAATTCGTTTGCATAGAATAAATTTTTAATACTTTATTATTATACTTCCCTACTTCCATTTTTGAATCGGATTTTGTTCACAATTTTATGGGGTTTAATTTATTTGCGCAGAACACAATTTTTTTTTCTAAAATAATATTAGCCTTAGTTACTTCTTATAACTTCAGCTGTCTGCCATTGAAAGAACCCGTCAAAATTGATTCTGCCGTTTCAGAGATTAGCCGGAGAACAGAGAGAGACAAAAATTTTAAAAATTGTTTTTTTTTGTTATATGTGCCTTGTATACTTTTATATACATTTATTTAATGAAATGCTGTTATTTTGACATTATGAACAGATACTTCAATTTTATTTATTTGTATAAATTATGGTATTATTACCGAATTTCTTTCCATATTTCTTACTAATACTACAAATATATAAATGAGTTTTCCGAGAATTGACTTTACTCTACACTACCACATGAGTAAAGAGAAATTATTACGTCTTATCATTTGGGGGAGGGGAGTGTTCGCAGTTTTCTTATTTTTGCTTACATATATATTAGAAAGTTTGCTTACGTATTACTCGAACGCCCCCTAATCTAAAAATGCCTAAGAATACAGTTCAAATTAATTTACAACGAGAACTTAAGAAATATAACTAAATAATATCACTAAAACTCCAAATATACATAGAGATTTGTATTGTTATTTTCGCCTTTAAAACACCTCTAATAATTTTCAGAACTTGTTTTTCATTACCATATATTTTGTATAATAAATCCAATAAACTATATAAATAGGGAGTAGAAATCTGGCTTATTTCCACTCCCTATTTTCTCTCCCTGGCGTTTGTGGTTTTTAATACTACGAGCATCTGTTAAATTTGCAAAAGCATGTATTCCAAATTATACAGGGTTATTTTGCAATAATCGGCCAAATTTGCAGAGAAGGTTTAGAATAAGTAATGTAGGCAAATAGTAAAGAAAAATTAATTTTAAAAAAGTGTCATATATTCTGTCCTTTTTATCTTTTATAATTCAAAATGCGTGGTAACGCATTATTTCAACTGATTGTCATTCATAAATATCTAACGCCTACTATTTTACTACGCACGCACCCATTCGTAAGGGTCGATTGGCCGGCAAAAACGTTGTAAATTGAATCCTTCACAGAGGAGCGCGCGTAGGTACGCGTAGTTGTTGCCAATAAGTCATAATAAATTTAGTATATATTTAAAATAAAAGTAGAAGCCTAACTTACTCGTATTGCGCGCCTCATAACGCGAAGGGAATAGGTAGTTTATTACTCTCGACATGTCAAGGTCAAGCAATTTTGTGTTCTTAAAATGCCTCTATCATAATCATATTGCACTGATATGATAATATGAGTAGCTGTATATTAAGAAAACACTCTAATTAATCCATCTTATATTTTCTTAAAATAATTTTATATTGCTACTTTGATAAAAAATGGTTTAAAAAAATTTTACGTGGATGTCCGGATGTTGATTTTGTATGTGATCACGATAACTCCCCAAAAAATTGACGTATCCAGACCGAGTTTTTTTTTTATTAGCTTCAGAATTATTTTGCTAACATATTTTTTAATCAATATTAAATGAAACGCTCGTGAATCGTGCACTTTTGGATTTTCCAAACTATTTTCAAACGCTGCATTAACGGTATATTAACGGTATATATTTATGAACTTAAGTTTAAAATTTGGCTACTCTTAGAAAAATAACGCTGTGTATAATAATGGACTTTAAAATTTACATGGGATGACACTTACGTAGATAAATTTGAAACGTAAAACGTTATTTAATTTTTTTATCAAACCAATTAGATGCATATAATATTGATATCACCTATATATTTTTTTAATTACGCAAGCATCGGGCAAGTCAAATTTATTACTTTGTGTGTGAAAACGACCAATTGTTTGCCTGTTCTAGGCTTCGCTTCGGCACAGTTCTGTTTAGAAATACTATATATTTTTTTTTTGATTTGCAGCAGTCAAGTAATGGTACAGAATTTGATGAGAGTTCACAACTCAGCGATCCTGATACTATAGTTAATAGTGACAGGTAGACGATTTTTTTTCTTTATTTTTAATTTTTATTTTACGTTACTTTTAACATACGTGAGCAGAATTCTTCAACGGACTTGAATTTCGCTGTGTATTTAACTATTGACATGAATTATCATTATTTTTTAGCGTCTAATTAAAAATAGTGATTTTAATTATTATATTAGTTGTAGTCACGCTATGTTTTAGCTGTTATGGCAGCAGCAAAATTAGGTCAGTTAGCTTCTTTGAAAAGTGTGCATTGTTTTGCTGAAATTAGTCTGCGTACTATTACATCATGGTTGGAAAACAGTTTGCTAATACTCATCACAAGACAAACGAAATATATTATGGGGCTTCAATTACATAAACTAACATTAACTCACACAAGTAATTTAGTAAATCCATGCAATCGATATATACAAGAATCGACTAATACAAAAATAAATTATATACTTGCTTACTAATTGAAAGAATAAAATTTATAATATTGTTACGAGCTTGGGGTTCGAGATAATTAAAAACTGCCGAGTGAATTACCAAAATTGACTATTTAATTACACAACACTAATTACAACTTAAAATCACACTAATAATAAAACACAGTTCGCCGTTATTTCGCTTCGAAGTATTCTCTTGTATCGCCAATTCAATACTGCCCCGGTCGTGGTCTATACCGGCCTTATATAGGGCCTCAGATAGTTTCCAGAACCTTCTACTGTAGCGACATCTAGAATGTTCGAGTACATATCGGTCCCGAAATTTCTGGAAGGATCTCCTAGTTCTGCTACTCGACACTAGAGGGCGCTAGTGTTACTAGTGTTGCCATGTACAAGACATTAATAGTGGCGTGCTACACTTTCTTTTACTCGACACTAGAGGGCGCTAGTGTAACTAGTGTTGCCATGTCATCATCATCATCATCATCATTACAGCCCTTCACAAGTCCACTGCTGAACATAGGCCTCCCCCAAAGAATGCCACAAAACACGGTCCTGAGCCACCTGCATCCATCGACTTCCTGCATGTCTTACCAGGTCGTCACTCCATCTCGTGGGGGGACGCCCTACACTTCGCCTACCGGTACGAGGCTGCCACTCGAGAACCTTTCTTCCCCATCGGTTGTCGGTTCTTCGAGCTATATGGCCGGCCCACTGCCACTTCAGCTTACTAATCCGTTGGGCTATGTCGGTCACTCTGGTTCTACTGCGGATATCCTCATTCCTAAGTTTATCACGCAGAGAAACTCCGAGCATAGCCCTCTCCATAGCTCGCTGAGCGACCTTGAGCTTCCTCATACGGCCAGCAGTGAAGGACCACGTCTCAGTTCCGTAAGTCATCACTGGCAACACGCACTGGTTGTACAATTTCGTTTTAAGGTTTTGAGGTATGTCTGACTATTCCTGGCTACGGTGTTGCCATGTACAAGACATTAATAGTGGCGCGCAACACTGCCCCCTCCTAAGACATGCTCGTCCCGAGCATTATTGCCCTATAATAACGCGCCAGTCGATCCACATGGACAATCTTAGGAGTACCTCTGGCACCTTTCTGTATCCGGTAGGTAACGTCATTGATCCTTGTCACAATCCGGTACGGTCCGTCCCATTTAGCTTGAAGCTTAGGAGATTTCCCTTTGCTGCGAACTGGATTGTGTAACCACACTAGTGAACCTTCATCAAACCCCTTGTTGTTCATTTTGCGGTCATACCGTGTTTTCATCTTCTTAGACGTTTGCTGGCCCGTCTGTCTGACGTGCTCATAAATGTCATTCATTTTGTTCCGCAAGTCATTTGCATAATCAGTTATACTGCTTGGGGCATCAGGTGGTATTCCGGTGATTAGGTCTGCAGGCAGCCGCAATTCCCTCCCAAAGTTTGCGAAAGCCGGTGTCACTGATGTACTTTCGTGAACAGCGCTTCGATATGACAACAAAAACGGTTGTATGTGCCTGTCCCAGTCTCGTTGCCGTTTTTCCACAACTTTTGCTAGGTACCTCTCCAATGTCTACCACTTCTTTACCCTCTTGCCTAGTACAATGCTTGCAATCTTCAGGGCAAGGTCTTCTTGATAATGCATCTGCATTGCCATGAGATTTCCCGCTGCGATGTTCGATCACAAAGTCGTATTCCTGTAGTAGTTCAATCCATCTCGCAACTTGTCCTTCCGGATTTTTGAACTGCAATAGCCATTTCAGTGCAGCATGGTCAGTTCGTAAGTAGAATTTCCGCCCCAGGAGATATTTGCTAAAATGCTGCAAGGACTTTACCACAGCAAGCAATTCCCGTCTTGTGACACAATAGTTGCTATCCGGCTTTGACAACGACTTGCTGAAGTACGCTATCACAATCTCTTGATCACCATTCCGTTGAGACAACACACCGCCAAGTCCTATATCACTTGCGTCTGTGTCAACTATGAATTCCTTGCCCGCAACAGGGTACCCCAAAATAGGTGTTTTGCACAGACGGTTCTTGAGCTCCTGGAATGCAATATCGCAACTTTCATCCCAGCAGAAATGTCGCTTCTCCTCGGTTAGCTTGTGCAGAGGTTTGGCTATATCTGCAAAGTTCTTCATAAATCGCCGATAGTAAGAGCACAAACCCAAAAATGCTCTAACCTGTGTCTTGTCTTTTGGAATCGGCCACTCCTTGACAGCGGCAACTTTCTCTGGATCCGTGCGGATACCTTCTTCCAACACTACATACCCCAAAAAACTAACTTGCCGTTTGAATAGTGAGCACTTCTTCGGACTCAACTTGAGGTTGGCACTCTGGATCTTCATGAGCACGCGTTCCAGGTTTTGAAGGTGTTCCTCAAACGTACAGCCTACGATGATGATGTCATCCAAATAGACCAGACAGGCATCTCCAATTAGCCCGGTAAGTACAAGCTCCATCAACCTTTCAAACGTTGCTGGAGCATTGCACAATCCAAACGGCATGACTTTAAATTGCCACAGACCCTTTCCTGTGGAGAATGCAGTTTTTTCCTTGTCCTTAGGGTCAATTTTAACCTGCCAGTAGCCACTTTTCAGATCCAGCGTACTAAACCACTTTAAGCCTGTAAGCATGTCCAGCGTGTCATCAATTCTTGGCAAGGGATAGCTGTCCTTCTTTGTAACGTCGTTCAGGCGGCGGTAGTCAACACAAAACCGCATGCTGCCGTCCTTCTTCTTTACCAGCACCACAGGTGAACACCATGGACTAGATGAAGGTTCAATAACACCATCCTTCACCATTCTCTCAATCATGGTTTCCACTTCCTTTTCACGTGCTACAGGCAATCTTCTTGGCCGCTGACAAATAGGCAATTCTTGTCCTGTGTTTATTTTGTGTTGAACTAAGCCAGTCTTTCCTATGTCAGCTTCGTTTGACGAGAAAACATTGGCGTACTTGAGTAACAACTTCTTCGCCTTGACCATTTCATTCGGGGAAAGAACGCTGCGACAGTCTTCTAAAAGTGTGGTCACTCCCGTTTGTCCATCCTTGCTGGGGGTCCCGGTCGATAGATATTCGCACCGACGCAACCAATCCACTTCCTAACTAGTACCAACCAATGTGCCTTTTTCTATAATCTGTTCCTGATCACAAAGGTTCAGCACACGTACTCCTGAGATGTCGGCGGTTCTGACCAAGGTTCGAGCCACTTTCCATGGAAGGTCATTGTCTACCCTTTCCACGAGTACACAACGAAGAGTTTGCCCAGGATTCCGTGGAAGTCTAACCGGCACAATCGTTTCCGATCTCGGCGGAAGAACAATCTTCTTAAGGCTGTACACATTGCCTGGTAACGCCCCTTCCACGAAAAGTTCCTCTTGTCCACATTTCAAAACACCTTGTTTAACGTCGATCTCACAACAATTCTTCCTCATAAAGTCTAGGCCCAGGATGCAGTCGTCCATTATATCAGCCACGATGACATTATGCAGGTAGATCATGTTGCCTAGCTTCAACTCCATCTCCTTCTCTCCTCGGACGGGTATGCGCTGACCGGTGGCTGTCACCAAATTAATGCGTTCGCGGTTGTATGCGGAGTCCCCAAGAAACGGATTTATAAGTTGGGAACTGACAACAGTGCGAGAGGCTCCAGTGTCTATGGTTAGTTTACACGGCTTTCCGTTGACCTCGCCCTTGATGATCAGGCTGTTTCCATCTCGGGTTTGTGAGATCGAAATCCTTGGGGCTCTTTTAACCTCAGCCAGCACCCGCCAGTTTCCCTGCTGCTGCTGGGCGGTGCTGTCAGCCACACTACCCTCTCGATATCGATCACCTTCCCTTTCTACAGTTCATTTAGGGCAGCTGGATCGAAGATGGCCCCTTTCCCCACAGCCGTAGCACCTAGGGCTGTAGCCCTTTTTGCGGTCCTGAACTGTAACTGCTGCAATCTACCTGACGAGGTGGGAACGATGATCCTGCCGCACGGCTTCCACCTCCAGTGCATGGGCCAAGGCGTCCTTAAGCGTCTCGTGATGCCCGAGCCTCACAGCAGCTCTGGCTTCAAGGTCGCGGATGCCGTCGATGAATGTCTGCACCAGGTTCCCTACAATGAGCGCAGGTACAGACTGGTACGCTTTTCGAACCAGCTTCTCCACCTCAAGGGCCCACTGCTGCAGGTTTTCGTTACTGCGTTGCACGCGATCTTTGAGCTGCGCACGAAAGACGTGTTCCAGGTGAGCATCGCCATATCTCGCCTCCAATGCCTCAAGGAGCTGCTCGTAAGTCACTTCCTTACCGAGAGCTTCCAGAACAGTTAATGCCTGGTCGCGTAGGCCTAGGGTGAGAGCAGTCATGGCCTGACTTTTATTCCAGCCGTTCGCTTTCATGACAGCCTCGAACTGGATTTTGTAGGCCTACCAGGAAGAACTCCCGTTGAACGGCGGCACTTTGAATCCACGTAGCGAAGGTGTTGTAGCTACTACGGGTGCTGTAATTCCATCCCCAAGTTTGAGGTCGTCCAGCGTTTTCTTCACATCAGCCATCATGTTGTTAACCCGATTGTTCACTTGGTCGATTCGGGTTTCAGCTTCCGACAGGCGGTTGTCATGTTGAGCAACCCTATCCTTCACCTCCTTTATCTCTTTCCCGAAGGTAGCGTGAAGGTCCTTCCTGAGGAGCATCTGTCCTTCCATACCGCGCTGCAGCTGCTCTTCCAACCAACGGGTCTGTTCCTCCTGTCGGCGAGCCTGATCCTGCAGCATCATCATTAGAGCACCTAAGTCAGGTGCTACAGATGCAGGAGCTGCTGACGGGCCGGCCTCCGTGGTTAGCAGCTGGCCCTCCGAAGTTTGAGGCATTGCATTACCAAATCGTCTCTGGTCCGTCTCCTGTTGGCGTTGACTTCGGGTACGGATACCCTCCGTGTCGTCTTTAGGTAAAATCGGCATATTTGATCCCACTTCTGACACCAATTGTTACGAGCTTGGGGTTCGAGATAATTAAAAACTGCCGAGTGAATTACCAAAATTGACTATTTAATTACACAACACTAATTACAACTTAAAATCACACTAATAATAAAACACAGTTCGCCGTTATTTCGCTTCGAAGTATTCTCTTGTATCGCCAATTCAATACTGCCCCGGTCTTGGTCTATACCGGCCTTATATAGGGCCTCAGATAGTTTCCAGAACCTTCTACTGTAGCGACATCTAGAATGTTCGAGTACATATCGGTCCCGAAATTTCTGGAAGGATCTCCTAGTTCTGCTACTCGACACTAGAGGGCGCTAGTGTAACTAGTGTTGCCATGTACAAGACATTAATAGTGGCGTGCAACACTTTCTTTTACTCGACACTAGAGGGCGCTAGTGTAACTAGTGTTGCCATGTACAAGACATTAATAGTGGCGCGCAACAATATGTCTGTGAATAAGTATTTCTTATAAGCTTAATTGCAAAGCGTATAATATCACTTGTACATAAAGTAAGAAAATTCACTCGTAATGCAATTTGCATTACGAGTGAATACATACATAAAGCACTCGCGTTATATGTAATTACGAGTACACATTGGAAAAGTTTGTGTGAAGTAGTAGCTTAAACTCATTTAATAAAAATTGAATGAGCACATAAATCTCTGGTTGTAGTAATATCACATAATAATTAATAGTACAAGAATAAGTAATATCACAGAATAAATAATAGTACAAGAATAAGTAATATTATATCTTCCATTCAAGCATCCAACTATTGCGTTCTTCGAAATAGCCAGCGTACTTTCTGTGCGCCAATCTTCAGTTATATAAAAAATGCCACGATCATAAACTCCTCCTTTGTCAGTGGAGGAGATCTAACTTATCTCCCCTCCACTAATAAATGACGAGAACGTTGGATAGTTGAATATTCGGAATTTCAGCCACCAAGACTTTACAATTACTTTAATGTAGTGACAGACAGTCTTATCCGTCGATCAACGGGATGCATTGCATGCAGACAAGGTAGATATATTCCCCGTACTTTTACTGGATTTCATGCTGGGTTTCTTGCTGGTTCTTCCCAGGACAGAGGTTTTTTTTCCGAACCAGAGCAGTGGTAACTAAAAAAATGACTTTCAATAAAAATTACGTGTGATCTATATTGAATAAAAATTATTCTATTCTATTGAGGACTACAGGAGCTAAGTGACCTCAAATGACGCACACGCATATTTACACAATTTCTGTATAGCATCAGGCCTCGGCCGGCACTATCGGTACCACAGATATCGTAGTTTTCTGTTGCTCTGAGGTCGATACACAGGCGTTTACGCACACATGCGTACGTATTATGTTCAGAAATAAGAATATGTGATTTAAAAAAATATGGATTGGCCTAAACCATTTGAACATTGTTACGTTAATTGTTGCTTGTAGAATAATCTGACAAAAAAATTCAAAATGATTGCATGCATATTAGTACGGTTTTTAATCATTAAAAGAATTTTAGAGGTATCTTTGTCGTTTTTTTTCTGTCATATCAAATTAGTAGTATCATGCTTTCAGCACACTGTCTAACTAGGATATATCCTGAAAAATGTCATATATTTTTCTAATTTTATTTACTGCAGTGGATCATATAATTTAAGGCATTATAAAACTTGCGTTTAGCTCCTGTAGTCCCCTTAAACTGTGGTTGTATTGACATAATTCCGTTTACAACTACCTACTCTTCTTTACGAGGCGTATCACCACCAAACTTACAGGCCATTGGCTATTCTGAGAATACGACGCAATAAGAATATTTTCTAAACCTTTTCCAAGTTTTTTATTAAACCATATTATTATTTACCCGTATGGTGATGGCATATGAGGTAACCCACCGCCCCATTTCGTCCCGGGAGTGTCGTATGAGGCGACGATGGTAATTGCCAGTAGAACCATCTCGTTTACGCCAGACTTAAAATAAACAGACCGGTGACAGGCAGCAGCACCTTATTTGCGAAACGTCTTGCACTGCGATCATCAATCCCGTACAAGCGTGGCGATTGGGGTGAACTCTCCCTACAACGGGAGAAGCCCATGTCTAGCAGTGGACTGCTACCGGCTGATGAAGAAGTAGAAGAGGAGAAAATCATGAAAGGTAAAGAGCCATTAAATTAATTAACCCAATATTTTTTCAGAAGTGATGTTGAGCCAAAGGTTTGCATGAAAACTACTCAAACCAGTTACAGCTATGATGAATTTTATGGTTCACAAAGCAACACCAACTTCTTCGGTAACGTGTGCTATATTTAAATATATTTTCAAAGTTATTTATTTTATCTGAGAGGGTTTTACGGTAAGAAAATATCCGCCGCGCTGCCCAATGCGTGTTTGCGAACTTAACATGGCTTTTAATATTTTTTTTTAATAAGATAATGGTGACAAACGAGCACACAGTCCACCTGATGGTAAGTGGTTACTGTGGCCTATAGACATCCACATCTATCCTCGATTACGAATCAAAATGTAGATGCGTTGTCAGCCGTGAGGACTAAGATGGAATGCCTCGTTTCCTGTACAAAGGGTCACTACACTCACCATACGAAACACAGCAACATTAAGCTGCTATTTTACGCTGGTATTCTGTGAGAGCGTGGTCCTTCTCCAGTCGACCTGACGCCATTCGTGCTACAACTATACCAGTAATATAGTTGCAGCATGGCTCTACCACGTAAAACATTTTTTTTATTTCTCTGACATGCAAATTTCCTCATGATGTTTTCCTTCACCGCCGAGTAAATCAACAATTAAAACTGCAATTAACAATTTCATTTATGCCGGCGGAGATCGAACCCAAGTTACTCACATACTGTGAAATTTAATTTTTTTAGGCCTGTGCCCAGCAATGCGACGTATATAAGCTGTAAAGACTAACTTTTAACTAACTTTACTTATTATATTTATACAAATACCTTTTTAACTGTATCTGAAAATTATTATTATTGAAACTATTGCATTTACAATAACGATAAGAAAGACGTAAGACCAGATATAGTATAAGTAGATTCGGCGTTACAATTTTGAAAAGAAGTGTAAAAACTGTATAAATTCAATATTCTTGTAAATCAAATTTAAGTTTATTTTCGTAATAATATAGACTAAATCATCTAGCTATGCATACTATAGTCACTTACGTCTTTATTAAGCCTGTTCAAAATTATTTTTTTAATTCATAACCTCAATAATTTAAATACCTACTACCTAAAATTATTTAGACGCACAATAACGAGTATAATAGATCTATTCTCGTCAAATTACGTTAAATCATATTTCCAGCGCCCATCAAGCACTACCATGGAGACAATTGCAAAATAACTAATCCGTTAGAAAGGGATAAGGAAATTAGAGAACTGCTCGGCATTCAACCAAGCCGACCCGCTGTCCCCAGACCTGTCACGCAAGTAAGTGATATAAATACAAATTGTTTAAATGTTTCATATGTTGTAAAATTAAAATACTGCTTGCAACTATATTTTTTGCGCCTAATGCAAGGCACCGTCCGGAAGCGGAGGAGGGAGGTGGTGAATGCTCATAGCATACCATGCAGCCGGCTGCGTGGTTGTGTGGGACTCACTAAGAAGTGCCTACCCACTAAACACCACCTGTGGGACTGGCTCTGGCCTGTATGGCCTCTTCGCCGCATCGGAAGCGACCCCCCTTAGGGAAGAGAGGCGCCGGGCACAACCGCACGGGGAGAGGAGTGCGGGTCAACAAGCACAGCCGCACGGAGGCGGCGGTGCTAAAGGAGTGAAGAAGTGGAAGTCGCATAAGTGAGAATGCACCCACCGCACGGGGACGGTGATCGCGGACAGCCAACGCAATCGCATGGGGGCGGTGGCGCTAGCGGGGGCGGGAAGGCACTTCTCTTGGGTCTATTAAAGTGGCGTTGTTTAAAATAATTATCATCAAAGATCATTTTATCATTTTGTCGTCTACCAGTTTTTCGGATAACGTAGACTGTTCGTGAAGTTTCAGTACTGCTTAACGCTCCTCTATACTATACATATAATACTGTGAATAAAAACATGCACACATGCACATATTTGTTGTTAACTTTTTGGGTAACGAAACGTGCACAATCCGGCCTCACCTACTATTAGTGGGTGCAAAACTAATTCCTATTTCCTCATGCACCCACTGCATTACACTTTGTGCTTAATTTACATATTACTTTATACATTATATAAATGTCGCGTCCAAAGGTGCAAACATCAAGCGTCGCACCCTACCTACTTTCGCTGATATTTCTCGATAGGTGCTTTTGTGTACGTTAAATACTTATTTACATATTAATTACACTATATGCTTAAGTCAGTAAATCAATTTAATTTTTTTAATCTAACCAATTTGTATATGCGTGCGCGATTACGGTAAATCATCCTAATTCTGTTGACGATTAAAATGATTACTGATGATTATGCCATAAAATTAAAAAGATATTAAAGACGGATACATTGTGACTATAAAATATAATTTTTGTTTAAGGACTACTTATCTGGAATATTCTGCCGCGACGCACAATATCGGTTCAAAAGGAACAGGTATATTTCTTAATTTTTTGAATAGGCATAAGCAATACTTATAAAACTTATATTTTAAAAAAAGAACACTCTCAGTAAGCTCAAAAATGCTTGTGTTATTAGTGGTTCACCACAGTATCCATCAGTTGAATCGCGGAATCGAACCCACGACGTAAATTTACACCTTAGCATTAGGCTACTGTCGCTTATTATTATCGACTATAGTAATCGTATTTTATTAACAGCGATCTGAAACCATCGAAAAGAAGTATAGCAGCGTGTATGTCTAGATCATCAGATTGCAAATGCTGTAAATCAGAAAGAAAAGTAAACAAAAGCAAACAATGCAAACTGATTAAAACTAAAACTACGACTACTCAGTATGACATAAGATCACCCACGCCTTGTTGTTCACAACAACCTCATGATTCATGTGATATGCAGCAGTTAGTGTTAAATCGAAACATACAGGTGTATTTACAAATAGAGCAATTCACCAAACAGAAGCCAATAATGCTAACACGGAAACAATACGACAAGCTAAAAAAGACAATAAAAAGTACAGTAAAATTAAAATTGAAAAATCAAGACAAATGCAAAAGTAATATTTTCAAGGCATATAGTGTCGTATCTTCTGGACATGTGAAAAAAGTTCCAAAAAAGAGAAGCAGCGTTGGTTGTACCCAAGGGATACAAACTTTCAAGTGTGGAAAAAAATCAAGGAGACAAATGACAAAAGATGACAGAAGCTGTAGTAGTAAAGAACCGAGAAGAGGTTCATGCGTTTGTCAGGCGATACAAACAGTAGCCAGTAAAAGAAGCCTAGACAGAAAGACAATGTGCAATACATATGTGTTGTTTAAGGATCAAAATATTGATGAATCTGCGAATTCATCTGCAGAAGACGTACCAAGACAGGCCAGGTCGTCTCTGGAGATCAGATACGCTAATGTCGCTTACAAGCGTGTAACATTTTCATCAACAAATGTCGGACAGTTTGCGACAGAATCTCTTTATTCGAAACAAAAAGATAATTACTCAATGTATTCTTTACTCAAAAGTAAGTAATAAATAATTTGAATTGATAACTTGAACACATAACGATGGCAACAGAGTATCCATCACTTGGCCACCCGTGCAATCTATCTTGAAAGTCGACTAATGAATAAGGCAAAAAAACACGTCTTTTACGACAGGTGTTGAAAAAACTGACTCAAAATCTGCCTGATTTAAAAAGGGAGGCCAGTGATATCCAAACTTATTGCTAAGCGTGACCTTATAGTCCTGGTTATAGACCTGCATAGTCTTTCTAATTGGTAGACGCCCAAACTGTTGTACGATATTTACCTTGTAATTGCCTGTTCTTTCGTTACCTCCTGTAGGCTTTAGCTGAAACAGCTTGACGGATTATAAATGCAAAGAATCGATGGATTCGTTGTCATCTCTGGAATCGGTCCGAGAGCTCGTGACGCATTTTTCATGAAGTGTTTGATGCATCATGAAACTTTGTTTAAAGGTATCAGTCGACTCAATAAGCAGGTATATGACTGTCTGCCTGGCCTATCTGGGTACAGCTGGTAATGCGCATACAGGTAAGTCGCAAAAAAATTTGCCCAAAAAGAAGTGTTTGATTCAAATAATAATAATGACTATGCGTCAGCTAAGTTGATAGAGAAATAAGAAAAAAAATGGCAGACACTTCTGAAGGGGTATAGGGGCAGACTACCCCAAAGTTGTATTTTCAAAAATTCCAAAAAAAGTGTTTGATTCAGTCTGCCATTTTTACAGCGTATTTATTATATATAATAAAAAATTCTCACAAAAGGGCAGACAGTTTCTCCGGGGGTTACTAATTTAAAAATCTATACAAATAAATAAAATTTAAGTGTCTGTCTTTAATGTCAAAATATATTTTTTTTACTAAACGCATATGATATTATATACGATATTTATAACAAAAACACAATTTTTAAAATTTTTGTCTGTCTGTCTGTCTGTTTGTTCCGCCGGCTAATCTCCGAAATGGAAAAACTGTACGGATGTTAATTATTCTCGGTTTCAAAAGTTTTACTCTACTTATAAATCGAAAAATACGAACGAACCATTCCAAAAATCTATTCAAAGATATGATGCCTCAAATTTATCGCCGTGTAAGTCAGAATTACACCAGCATCTTTTACGTACGCAATACATCACCAGTGTTTGGCGCAACGCTTACTTGGTTAATCCAACTAATTTGTTACCAGCTGGTAATGGATGGAAAAATGAAACGTATGCATTTAAGTGGTTTGAAGGTGATTGCGTACCTGAAATCGTATTAGATGCTATCAAAACTTCGGAAAATAACACTGCCAACAGAACTGGTCAGTATTTTGAAATTAATTAATTTTATTTTATTGATTGTCATTTACCATTGATTTTTTTTACATATGATGAATTGATTTCTCGTCAAAGTGAAGACTTGTTTGAAAGTGACGAATCAACCGATGCTGAAGAGTCAAATTTCAGTGACAGTTAAAGCGAAAACTAACGAAATATATGTATTTATCTATATATTTGCTATTATATTTTTTCTTATATTTTGTCAGAATTTTTTTCATTGTAACTAATTAAAAATATCCATTAGCTGCAATTATTATTATTATTTATTAGATATTATTGTTGTACATTTGAGTAAACTTCACTTTTATCTACTTCTTGAAATATTCATCTTATAAAATATATAAATATTTTTAAGTAAGAATAAAAAATTGGTATAGTCATATTATGTGTAATATTATGCTTATGGCATATATTACATTTTAGTTGTAACTACTGTACAAGATCACGTGATCCGCAATGACAGCGCGAAGAATGGCTAAGGACATATTGGCGACCGTCGCTCTCTGTCGCACTTATTACAACCCGTGGCACATTTGTCTGCTTTCCTCGCAAGATTTATTTAAATATTTTTTAACTATTAACCCCCGGAGAAACTGTCTGCCCTTTTGTGATAATTTTTTATTATATGTACATGATAAACACGCTGTAAAAATTGCAGATTAAATAATACAATATTTTTGGAATTTTTTTTAAAATATAATTTTGGGCTATTTTGCCCCTATTACATATTTTGTGTAAAATTGTCTGCCCTTTAAAAGTGTCTGCCATTTTTTTTCTTAATTCTCTATCAACTTAGCTGACGGATAGTCATTATTATTATTTGAATCAAACACTTCCTTTTGGGCAAATTTTTTTGCGACTTAGGGTGAGTGGGGGGAAGAATGAACGGTTTTTTGATGAGATGTGTTTGACGTCTTGTAGAACAGTACATTTTAACTTAAGCTAAAATTATATCTATAGTGAATAAAGTAAAAAGAGCATATTTTTATGTCATATCGATAAATCCCTGCTATATTTATTCGAAAGCAAAAATAAATAAATTACAATGTTTTTATCGAAAGAAAAAAACAGGGGGAAAGATGAAAGGGTGGTGGGCAATCTTGCCCCGCCAGGGAAAGATTGAACTAGAGTTTCTCAAACTTTTCACTTTACTTGGATAAGATTATACAGAAAATGAAAGATATCAATCATATAAACTTTTTATTGTTAATGCCAAGATAATTTTAAACACAATTACGTATACCTTTTACCATTTTGGTCAACAAAATATGTAGCACAAAACGTAAAAAATCTAATATTTCAAAATTAAATAAGCCAACCAATTAATAAGATCTTAGAAAAATGCCACAACTAAAACATAGAAAAACTTCTGAAAAAATATTGTTTAAACGTTAATAAAAAAATTGTAGTAGATCGACGTCTACAGTTCACTGTAACACATAAATGAGCAGGGTCGACCGGTGCGATACTACCCTCTCACAGAAAATCAACGTGAAGTGTTAAGCTTCTTAGTGGCTGCCATGTTTCGTCTGGTGAGTGAGAGTTCCGGATGCCCGTTCCTTTTCCCCTTTTCTTAAGGCCACCCGAATGTTGAAGTTTGCTAGATAAACCGATGTGACGTTGCATTGTTCTAGGAGCTGTGATGTTGCATTTAATAACGAGTGTCTGGTGGTCTTAGCCCTTTCTTTAATTTCCTACTCCCATTCCTACAAATCTTGTTCCTATACCTTATGAGAAGGTAACGCACAAGTAACACTCCTGTTGTTTCTTGTGTCTATTGGCAGCGGTGAAATCACATAGCCATCAGGTGACCCGCTTGCTCTTTTTGCCTCTCTTATAATATACAAAAATTAAAATAAATACCTTTAGATAACATTAGCTGAAATTGTGCCGCTGACAATTTATATAATGGCTGTAACAAAACAAAACATTTTTTTAGGTACAGTTTGAGAACATGAGACCATTTGTATGACTTTTGAAAACGGGGCAAAATGGATACTTTTATATGTTTATCTTACCCCGTCAAATATTGGCGGGTAAAGACGGAATGTTACAATAAATCCTAAAATCCAAAAAGTAGCGATATTTAGACATAGCAACATAACTACCAATTAAAAATAATAAGTATGTATACAAATAAAAAACTCGTACCTACCTCGTAAATCAAGTTACACGACACGGGGTAAGATTAAAACACCCGACTTGCTCGCGTAAAATTCACTCACACACACACATTCAATTATAACACACAACCGATCCCTCAAAACGACAAGTGCCGACTTAGGTGTGGTACGTAACAAAATGGCGGTCTTATGAATGTTACCCGCATTGGATAAATTACACAAAATCTGTTTTTACTGATGCCTTTTTGTCTTACCCCGTTTTTCATCTTCCCCCCACTCACCCTACCTATATGCGCAGTACCAGGTGTACCCAGGTAGGCCAGGCAGACAGTCATATAGCTGCTTATTGAGTCGACTGATAACTTTAAACAAAGTTTCATGATGCATCAAACACTTCATGAAAAATGCGTCATGAGCTCTCGGACCAAATGACCTATTCTTCATTTTATTATAAAACACTTGATAAAAATACAATAGTGCTTACTTGATTTCTTACATAGTGTATTACTATTATTATATACACTATTTTATTACTTACTAATAAATAAATAGCGGTTCCGACATCCGATGGAAACGAAAGGTTCTTAACTGGTAGCCTCATACTGGCAAGCTTAGTTTAGATGACCCACATTCATTAGGTCATCATCCAAATGAATTGACAACCTGATGAAACATGAAGGTAGAATATGAATACAGGTGGCTCAGGACCGTCCTTTGAGGAAGCCTATGGAGGAGGCAAAAGTTCAGCAGTAGGCTTGTAATGGGCTATAGTGATAGTGTGAATGATTTAATAACAATAATTGACTGCAGTCACGTCCATTGCCTTTTAATTTCTATTACAATACATGGTAGAGCCATGCTGCAGCTATATTTTTAGTATGGTTGTAGCACGAATGGGTCGGCTCGACCGGGGAAGGACCACGCTCTCACAGAATACCAGCGTAAGATAGCATCTCAATGATGCTATGTTTCCTATGGTGAGTGTAGAGAACCGGAGACCCACCCTATTTACTGGAAACGAGGCATTCCATCTTAGACCTCACGGGTGACAACGCATCTGAATTTTGATTCGTAGTTGAGGATAGTTGTAGATATCTATGGGCCACAGTAACCACTTACCACCAGGTGGACTGTGTGATCGTTTGTTGCTCTTATCTTATAAAAAAAAATTATACCTTATTTAAAGTACCTAGTTTTTCTGCCGTTTTTCGCCTCTTAGTTCTATATATGCTAATAATTCAGTATAGTATTGTTGTCAAATTCAATCATAATAGCAAAATTAAAGGTACGGTCGAAACAGAACCATTCGTGCTGCAACCACAATACTGTTATCAGCTTGGGGTTCTAGACAATTAAAAACTGCCGATTGAATTACCAAAATTGACACTTTAATTTACAGAACACTAATTACAATTTAAAACCACACTAATAATAAAACACAATTGTGCTATTGAACTAAAGTGATAGTTCGTAGTTGTATCGCTTCGAAGTATTAGCTTGTATCGCCTATTCAATACTGACCCGGATGCGGTCTATACCGGCCTTATGTAGTTTCCAGAACCTTCTACTGTAGAAACTTCTAGAATATTCGAGTACATATCGGTCCCGGTTGACTAGGTGTCGATAGTTCTAGAAAGGTCTTCCATGGAAATTTCCAGAATATTTTGACTTCCCTAGTTCTGCTACTTGATATTAGAGGGCGCTAGTGGTAACTAGTGTCGCCATGTACCATGTATTAATTGTGGCGCGCAACAATACGCCGTCTCTAACACGTATAAAGTTTGAACGTATATTGCAGGGCATAAGAAAACAGCTACTCCAAATCTTGGCACATCGGCATATTCCTTGTATTCAGAAGCGACTGGATCAGACCAATCCATTAAATACTTACTCTCGCCGCGTGGGTCTAAGCAAAAGCGACCATTACTCCGAAGACTCATGTCCTGTTTGGTGATGCATTCGGCCAGAGCATCGAATATTAAAATTCCTTGCGGGTTGACCAGCAAAGTTTCTGGTGTCAATAGTTCTATTGATTCCTATTATATAAGTACATCTCTCGGAGTAAGTATTATGTATCATCACACAATTTTTTTTTTATATATGTACTTAGTGACCTTAAAGCTAGCGGGTGGACTGCGTGAACCGTTTAAACATCCTGGGGTGTAACAACAGGGTCGTTTGGAGATAGGTTCTGGATCATGCAAGTATTAAATGCAACGAACAATGTGACTGGCTCGCGCGGGAGGGATCAAGGAATACATAATTTGAAACGGAAATATTTTTTTTGGATCTCATAAAGTCATACCCGAATGACCCTTGTAGTTTTTTACCAAAAAAAAAATACTTCTCTATCTATCTATCTCTCTACGATCTGATCTCTACAGCCTTAATTCAGACATATTATGATCGTAATTCACTTCAAAAGCCCTGGGATTAAAAAAGAACAAACTGCGTATTTTCACAAAAGCCCTGACTGTACATTGCTGTTTAAAAAATTACTTGGCTTCTCGGGACTATACATCTTAAGGATGTTCTAATTCTGTTCCTTAACGGAAGAAGCACCTCTGCACATCCTAATTGATGTGGACCTTTAATGCGCAAACATAACACTCATCTGGGAAACTACGTACCTACTGCGGCCAGAAGAAAGAAAATGCTCACATCTTCAATTCATTGAGAATATAGGGCTTATCAGTGAACTATACCTAGTTATAGCAGCAATCAAAATTGAGAGTAGGTACTGGTCGCATTGATCTTGTTAGACTTGTATAGCTACTCACACAAAAAATTACAGAATAAGTGTCATCGCTCGTCGGCTATACTAAAGGGCTGCCATAATTAAAATCTAAATACTATCACTTATTATAATATTATTTGCTATGCTATGTCTATGCTTAAATATAATCTATGTAAGTCCCACTGCTGGGCACAGGCCTTTTTCTCCAAATTTTTTTCTTGTTTCTCACACATGCAGGTTTCCTCGCGATGTTTTCCTTCACCGCCGAGCACGTGATAAATCAGCACTTAAAATTGCAATTTACAATTTCATTGGTGCCAGCGTGTCTATGATTATTAAGATTAAATAAAAACGGTGTCGATTACTAGGTTACCGTCGATGACCGGAACAGGTAAAGAACCGAGTGTCGTTAAAGTACGTGCCGCCGATGTACAAATAAGCTTTATTAGGTTTTTGCGACACCGCGTTATAATAAACTTAACTTGTATGCATTCGATTTATTGTAATGAAAAATGTTTTGGAATTTGTGCATCTTATGTTAAGTTAAATATTTTCATATTACCAGCATTCATTTTGCTATTTAAATTACTACTATTAATAATATAATTTAACGCGGCTTGAGTTAACTGTTCGATTTTTCGCTTATTGATATTTACAGATTTTTTTAAAACCAGTACTGGACATAGGTCTTATCGGGAAAAGCTTTGGTTTATCCTGATAAGACTTGCCCATACCATACGGAGCAGGAGGTTAGGTCTTCTCAAAGTGGGAGATGTCCAACGCAAAAAAAAATAGAAAATAGATTTAAACGTAGGTCTTTGCGCCGAATCGTAACCATATAAATATTTATGCTTCATTTAAATTACTGATATTTGGGTTTAAAGTCCAGTATTCCTTAAATCTTATCGCATAAAAATCAATGCCTGGAACAGTTTCGAAGGGACATTAAATTTGCCATGTACTATACTATAATAATTTCGTATTAGAATTTTTCAAAAAACTTTTTCTCTTCTAGGCAATTGAAGTGACATCGTCCATGTACGACACGTCGGCCTCTTACTATAGTAACCACACAATACTACCCGTAAACAAAACGAAGACAGGCTTTTTAAGATCAGTGCGGGGTTTTCTTGCTAGTAGAAGAAGTTGACAATTAATTAAATTTGAAAGTCCTGTTGTGAACATATTGCTTCTATTATTTCTATTAATTTACATGCGTTTCGTCTTTTTTATTGTGAATGTTGTTAAAAATCTTGTATTGTTCGACAGTTGTCAAATTAAATAATATATTTTCGAGATATAACGGTAAGTTCTTTGTTTGTTCTAAATTTCAAAATCCAAACGATGCGACTGAATTTTATAGGACTACTTCGTTGCAGAGTTGGAGGTTGATTACAACCTTAACTACCTACCTACTAACTGTACTACTTTGCTTGTGAGAACTTTCCAGCTTCCTAAAAAAAATCTTTAATATTTCTTTATATACAAAGATCAATTATTCGTGTCCCGATAGTCTCGCAAAATCTCGAAAATGACTTGACGGATTTTGATGAAATTTTTTGTGTGTGTTTGAGTAGGTCCTTGGATGATCTAAACGATTCACAATTGGACCCGGTAGGAGGCGCTGTTGTCGAGATCCAAAAATCATCCGAGCGAAGCTGGGATCGATTCCTAGTTTTTAATATAAAAATTCCTGCCATATAAAATAACGATGAAATTTTTTTTTCTTTTTTATTATTTCATTTTTTTTAAGCGTTTCTTCTTAATGCGTTAAATATTACTTTAATCGATCTATCGGCTGTTTAAGAAAGAGTCCTTTAAGCCAAAACCCCATCGATATTCAAAATTTTATTCTGTCAAGATTTAATGAGGAATGAATGACTATCAGTGACTTAAGTGACAATACTTTAGAAAATATAGCCCTTTTTATGAGGATGTTTGCTTGAATTCAAGTTAGCAGCCTCGATAACTCCAGTATTGTCTGCGTCTGAGATGTAATTCCTCTTTTAAGATTTAGTGACTAATTGATGATTTTCATATACCGAGATTGTGTTTGGCGGGAAAGAATACTCACTACCCCATATCTTCCCGTGGGTGTCATAAGAGGCGACAGAGGGAAACTAAGATGGACAGCAGCATCTTCCTGATAATAGCAAACAACAATAAAAAACTGCGGTTGCCAACCCGCTCGCCAAGCGTGGCAACTATAGCAATATACCCCCCATGACAGTAACGACGAAACAGCCCCCAGTTCCCGGCGGACCCGCTATTCCTGGCTACGGTGGCGACCATGGTAACGGCAGGGCAGGGGGTGCTAAGAATCTCCGGTGGAGGTTCGGTTGTCACCTACGACGACTCGACCTAGCAACTTATAACGCACGCACCCTGAGGACTGACGAGAAGATTCTGGAGCTGGAAGAAGAGATAGACAAGTTGCGCTGGAATATCATAGGACTATCCGAGGTCCAAAGAGAGGGGGAGGACACGGTAATCCTCGAATCCGGCAACTTGTTCTATCACCGGGGGGGCGACCATATGTCCCAAGGAGGTGTCGGATTTATCGTCCACAAGTCTCTCGTTAACAACGTTGTAAAGATTGGGAGTGTGTCGACTAGGGTTGCGTACCTTATACTCAGAATCACCAAACGGTATTCGCTGAAGGTCATACATGTTTACGCACCAACCTCGGCGCACCCCGATGAGGAGGTGAAGGAAATGTATGAGGATATCTCTAGAGCCATGCATTCCTCCAAAACCCACTATACGGTGTTAATGGGAGACTTCAACTCAAAACTAGGCACAAGAGAGAACGGTGATCTGAAAGTAGGGGAATTCAGAATAGGGCAACGGGTTCCGTGGGCCGACTTTAAGGAGAAAGAGGGACTCTTTATGATGAACTCTTTCTTCCAAAAGCGGCTCCACAGGAAGTGGACCTGGTGGAGCCCCGAAGGTCCAACAAAAAATGAGATTGACTTCATTATGACGACCAGATGACAACTGTTCAGTGAAGACTGCAATGAAGTGGATGATATGAATGATAAGCTCGTGGAAACTGTCCATGCAGTCGGAGCTAAATTCTGCAAAACCCGCCGCAGAAGAACACAAAAACTCTACGATCACACTCTTAATCTCATGGCTGTTAGACGGGATATGAAGCTGCAGTCTTTAGTAGATTTGACAGCATACATTCAACTGAACAGATAGATCTCCAAGTGCATACGGCGGGACTTACGCGCAACTTTAATACTACTACGTCGTCACTCCATCTAGTGGGGGGACGCCCAACACTTCGCCTGCCGGTACGAGGCTGCCACTCGAGAACCTTTCTTCCTCATCGGTTGTCGGTTCTTCGAGCTATATGGCCGGCCCATTGCCACTTCAGCTTACTAATCCGTTGGGCTATGTCGGTTACTCCGGTTCTACTGCGGATATCCTCATTTCTGAGTTTATCACGCAGAAAAACTCCTAGCATAGCCCTTCCCATAGCTCGCTGAGCGACCTTGAGCTTCCTCATCCGACCAGCAGTGAAGGACCGCGTCTCAATTCCGTATGTCATCACTGGCAACACGCACTGGTTGTACAGTCTCGTTTTCAAGTTTTGAGGTATATCTGACGAGAAGATGTGTCGTAGCTTCCCGAACGCTACCCAACCGAATTGAATCCGTCGGTTCACCTCTCGGTCGAAGTTGGACTTACCTAGTCGGACTATTCGTCCCAGGTAAACATACTCGTCAACAACTTCGAGCTTAGTGATCCTAACAACTACCGGCATAGGTGTGACATGGACATTAAACATAATCTTTGTTTTGTACATGTTCATCTTAAGACCTATCCGTTGGGAGACACTATTGAGGTCATTGAACATAGTGCTTAGGTCCTCCAGCGATTCTGCCATAAGGACTATATCGTCGGCAAATCGAAGGTGAGTGATATACTCGCCATTGATGTTAATACCGTATCCTTTTCAGTCCAGAAGCTTGAAAACGTCTTCCAATGCAGTGGTGAAGAGTTTCGGGGATATAATGTCACCCTGTCTTACACCTCTCTGCAATTGGATAGGTTTCGTACTCTGGTTCTGTAGTCGGCTAGCCATCGTAGCTCTACTGTACAAGCATTTCAGCACTTCGATATACCGACAGTCAACTTGGCACCGCTGAAGGGACTGCAGCACCGCCCAAATTTCGACGAAATTAAAGGCTTTCTCATAGTCCACATACGCCAGGCATAGTGGCAAATTGTACTCCTCTTCTTGGACCTGGACTTCTGTACAACTTGCCGAAGGGTATGTATGTGGTCTATGGTGCTAAAACCCTTTCGGAAACCGGCTTGTTCGGGAGGCTGGAAGTCGTCAAGTCTGCGCGCGAGACGATTCGTAATGACTCTCGAAAACAGCACGTAGACGCGGCTCAGCAGGGAAATCGGTCTGTAGTTCTTCAAGAGAGCGTTGTCGCCTTTCTTGAAGAACAAGACCACCGCACTTCTGCTCCACGCCTCCGGTGTAATGCCACCATGGAGGACGGAATTAAAGAGCTTCTGAAGGACTTCAAGTACCGGTTTTCCACCCGCTTTCAGAAGCTCCGCTGTAATTCCATCCTCGCCTGGGGCCTTGCCGTTTTTAAGGTGCTGGAGAGCCATTCTAATCTCGCTCAGACTGACGTTCGGGATATCATCGGAATAATGTCGGATAAGACTCGCTCTTGTATCGTAACTCACACTTGCGTGTGGCTCCAACGATGACGTGTACAGCTGCCCATAGAACCTCTCAATCTCACTCAAAATCTGCCGCCGGAAACGATGCTGCCACATTCTGTCTTCAGCTTTGACAGTTGGCTCTTTCTGGCAGACAGATCTCTGGCAAAGACTTTGGAGTCTTGGTTTCGCTCGATCGCTTCTTCAATACGAGCTGTATTGAAGTTGCGTAAGTCCCGCCGCATGCATTTGGAGATCTGTCTGTTCAGTTGCCTGTATGCTGTCAAATCTGTTGAATAATGTAGCTTCATCTCCCGTCTAACAGCCTTGAGATTAAGAGTGTGATCGGAGAGTTTTTGTGTTCTTCTGCGGCGGGTCTTGCAGAACTTAGCTCCGACCTCATGGACAGTTTCCACGAGCTTGTCATTCATATCGTCCACTTCATTGCAGTCTTCTAGGCACTGAAAATTGTTTTGTAACTCGAGCTGAAAGGTTTCGGGACTTTGGATTAGAGCACGAGGGGGACGGAGCGTTGACTTCATTAGACGAGACCTCTCCAACTTAACGTTTAGGTTCAGTGTGCCTGTAACCATTCGGTGATCGCTGCCGGTTTTCACCCTCGCGATCACTGAGACATCACTGAACAGTTGTCGTCTGGTCGTCATAATGAAGTCAATCTCATTTTTTGTCGAACCGTCGGGGCTCGACCATGTCCACTTCCTGTGGGGCCGCTTCTGGAAGAAAGAGTTCATCATAAAGAGTCGCTCTTTCTCCATGAAGTCGGCCTGCTGCTGGCCCCTTGGGTTCCGTTGCCCTATTCCAAATTTCCCTACTTTCAGCTCACCGTTCTGTCTTGTGCCTAGTTTTGCATTGAAGTCTCCCATTAACACCGTATATTGGGTTTTGGAGGAATGCATGGCTCTAGAGATATCCTCATATATTCCTTCACCTCCTCATCGGGGTGTGCCGAGGTTGGTGCGTAAACCTGTATGACCTTCAGCGAATACCGTTTGGTGATTCTGAGTATAAGATACGCAACCCTCGTCGACACACTCTCAATCTTTACAACGTTGTTAACGAGAGACTTGTGGACGATAAATCCGACACCTCCTTGGGACAGATGATCGCCCTTCCGGTAATAGAGCAAGTTGCCGGATTCGAGGATTACCGTTTCCTCCCCCTCTCTTCGGACTTCGGATAATCCAACTAATATGCCAGCGTAACTTGTCTATCTCTTCTTCCAGCTCCACAATCTTCTCGTCAGTCCTCAGGGTGCGTGCGTTGTATGTTGCCAGGTCGAGTCATCGCTCATCGTAGGTGGCAACCGAACCTCCACCGGAGATTCTTAGCACCCCCTACCCCGCCGTTACCATGGTCGCCACCGTAGCCAGGAATAGCGGGGCCGCCGGGGACTGGGGGCCGTTTATTATTGTCATTGCTCATGGGGGGTATATTGCCATA